TTAACATCCTGGAGAATACATAGAATGCACAGAACATAAGTTTACAAGAAAGAGATAGACTGAAACTTGTCTTTAGGTTTCGGTTTAAAACCTTTCAACGCCGTCTCAAGTTTCAGAATTCTCCAAGATCGTTCCTTCCTCTGATCACTGTTTCATCACTCTGTTACTTCTTAATTACATCCCAAAGCAACCCCTTCTTTCTCCTTTAGCCTTACAGGTGATCTCTCACGACCCTCTTTGATTCCCTCTACAGCTTCTCTCTGTTTTTCCTCTCAAGATACTATGTCGTGAATAGGGTTTTCAACCTAGCAGACCATACTGTCTTATATATATATAGGTTCCTGCTAAACCCTAATCCTAATTCCACGACTCATTAAAAGTCGGCTAACTAATCTTCAAAACCCTAAACCTACACTATATACACTACCATCTTTTAACCTACCTTTAATTAACTAAATTACATCACAATTAAATAATCCAATTAAAAACAAATAAATAATTATAACTACATAAGTCACTTACAACACATAGACAATTTCAAGTCAAATAAATAATTAAATAAAAACACAATTAGACAATATTAATTTAAATAAACACAATTAATCAATTAAGAACTAAAACAACTAAATCACATAATTAAATCAATTAATCAATGAAAAACAAAACTAAATTCCCAATTCTATCCTTTTGAAAACTAGGGGTATTACACAAAAGGACACTAATGCTTTTAATAAGTGAAATAAGGCAAATAATATGGTTCGGTGCAATATTCTTGAGTTTATCTCGAATACACTCCAAAGCTAATATTTGCATTAATTTATTTTTTTCAAGCATCGTAAGATGTTTTGGTGAGATTGGATAGAATGTTTGCCTAAATACTATTCCAGACTTGAATACCATCAAGATAACCTAAGGAACTTCAGTAAGCGATCGTATTTAGAAAATGATTGTTTATTATTTAAAAATTAACTGGAGATCCATGGGGCTAACTTGAGTGGTTAGTTTCGAGTTGACATAATTATTGCCTTGTTACCAACTCGTTCAACTCTTTTAGAGTGAACTAAATAAGGAACCAGTTTAAGTTCACACTCACTGATATTCTTATAGAGTTGGTAACATATGAAGGGATAATCGAATGTATAGGCGTTCCTATCAATCTAACCTAGTCTATACCATCTTCTTCTAAGCCCAAGTGGAAGGGCAAAGGAAAAGAAGAAGGATAACAATAGGATTGTTCTAGCACAAAACATTGGGGATCCAAAAGGTTAAAAGAAATAAGGTAGTGTATGTTGAGGGCAAAGGAAATTGTTTCTTTTGCGGCCAACTAAGACACTTAAGGACAAACTATCCAAGCAATAACGCGGTATAGGAAAATGTATATTTCATCATTGAGCCATGCTAGGTGGTTGTATCTATTAATTCCTGATGGATAGATTCTGGAGTCACTAAACATGTTTGCAATTAGTTGCAAGGATTTCAGGAATCTAGAAACCTCAATGACATGGATATATATTTGTATTTTGACCTGATGTCAAGGTTGCAGCTAAGTCAGTATGAGTATTACATCTGAAATTAGAGAGTATGAGGATATTAGTATTAGAGAACTATCTTTATACACAGATGTTAGACACAATCTCATTCTTGTTTCACTTTTGGTTTATAAAAACTGTGCTGTAATTTTTGGTCAAACTGCTTTTATAAAATTAAATAGATGTACGATTACTTCTGGTGCATTGAAATATGGTTAATATACTATAACCACTAACTCTTAATATTTGCACGATGTAAAAACTATTATTACACCTTCTAAATTGAATGTTAAGAAAAAATTTGATATTCCTGACTCATTGTATTTTTAGTGTATATTTTTGGGTTGTAATCAGTCAAAATGAGATTCAAAGATTGGTCAAAGAAAGTTTATAACCTAGTAAGGCAGGGGAGCCTAAACCAACTTGTGAATCCTGTATTGAATGATAAATAACCCTAAGGGCTTTAATCATCCAAGTGAAATAAACGTAATAAACAATTGGAGTCGGTACACACTGACATGTGTAGTCTTATGAACATCCAAGTAAGATTACTTACGTTTTGGATACATTTACCTGATGCGACACAAGTCTTAAACTTTTGGTGTATTCCGAAAGTGTCAAGACTGAGGTGGAGTACAGATTAGGTAAACTTATCAAAACACTTCAATCTGATCGTGGATATGAGTATTTCTTGGGATAGTGCAAAGACTATATGGTCAATGAGGGAGTTGTGTACCAGTTTTTCGTAATTGACGCTCAATGAATTGACGTGTCAAATACGAATAACAAAATTCTGCTTAACATGGTTAGATCTATGATAAATTATGCTACATTATCTCTTTCATTTTAGAGTTTAGCCTTGACGATATCGATGCACATTATGAACTGCATTCTATCTTAGTTTGTCTCAAGGATACTTTTGAGCTGTGTTTTTGACTAAATCTTAGTTTGAATCACATGCACATATGGGGTAGTCTTGCACATGTCCGCTTGATATAGACAAATAAGTTGGAAACAGATCATAGGCATACTTGATTTAATGGCTACTCTCACTACAAGAAATTAGGGTTTTTGGGATAGTCGAAATTGTCCCTAAAAGCTCGAAAACCGTCCCTAAAGGTCAAATTGGTGCGTCACTAAAAGTAGCGTGACAAAAGAGCTTTAGGGACGATCAAAGATGACCGTGACAAAACAGTACTTACTTTCTCAAATAACACCGTCCCTAAAACTTATTAGGGACGGTATAAACTGTCACTAATAAGATATGAATTAGGGACAATTTCAGGGACTGTCCCTAATACGTATAGTATTAGGGACAGATGGACTGTCCCTAATACATTTATTATTTTATTTTTATAATTATCATTATTTTTATTTTTATGCTTGATTTGTGGGTTTAACAATTCCGGATACATACAAAACATAAACAAAATAGATCCACAATTACATTCAAAAAGATATTACTAGCCATAAATCAAAATAAATCCAGAATTATATATAGTCAAGATCCATAAAACCTCCAGTTATTTAAACAAAAACTAAAAACCATCTGATAGCACAAAAAATTGTTCCATCCTCTTCACAATCCATTATTCATTCTGTTGGTGGTTGTGGTAGTGCTTGCTGGTGCCACCATGTTGGTGGTGGCTGTTGATATTGCCACCTTGTTGGTGGCAGCTGCTGAAAATGAGAGTTTGGTGGAGGTGGCGGTGGTTGTTGATGTCAGTTTGGTACAGTTTGCTGCTGTTGGGAATCTGATAGAGACTATTGTTCGTGGAACCATGGTGGCGGCTGCTGCTGCTGTTGATATTGGAGGAACCATGGTGGCGGCTGTTATTGGTACTGCTCAAGCATCTTCTCAAGTTTATCCATCTTTTCCACCAATTATATATTTCTTTCCTCAGCAATTTCGGCCCTTTTCCTATATTTGGAGCCATGAAATTATATCCAAATCCACGACAATATCCCTTCCTTATGCCTAGTTGGTTTTGTACTATCTCAACATCATTTATTATTGGACTCGTACCATCAGAATTTTGAAAATTTTGTGCAGCCTTTTCTTTCATTGCATCCTGCAAAATATTTAAGTGCGCTATCAAATTGAAAGAATATGGCATATGAATAAATCATGTGCAAGCTAGAATATTGATCTCAATAGAGAGAAAAAAAAATACTTATTATATTCAAGATCTGATATTAGAAACTAGAAACAAAAATGTCTTTTTCTTAACATTTCATCATTCTCCTCTCTAAAAAAAATTCATAATACAAACCAGACCTTTAAATTTATAAAATATCTCACTTGCACAACAAAAAGGGCAACACAGCTTCTTCTTTCAACTTTGGGATTTCTCACAAGTAGAAATACTCTAATTACTTTTAGAAATTCCTGGAGCATATGAGGATGCGTACGCAAATCATTTAAATGTTTTTTCTTGTATGTTATTATGTATGCAGATGACAGTTTACATGTCTCTGTTTCTGTTTTACCCAATTTAATTGCCTCTTGATTTGACATGTTCATAGAGAAACTTGTTGACGAAATTGAAGTAACAGAAAGTACATATAAAAATTTGCTGCAATGTGTTGTTATCTGTTGATACTTTTGTACAACCAGCTAAAGTGCAGCTTCTGCTAAACTATTTTATAGTTTTATTGATCGTTAGTAAGTTCTTTTCAATTAAAAAATGACAATTCTTGAGAATACAAAGAATATTTTGTGAGCATTGCTACATACTATTCAAATTCAAGCAACGATACATCTCAAAACTCATTTAGAATGTGAGAGGGCTATCAGCCTATCACAAAAAAGAATTTCAGTTCATTTATAATTGGACAGTACCAATGTAAAGAATATGGATCACAATTTAATTGATTAAATTTATATAATATCTAAGAGATAAGTGTCTTCTCACAAATACAAATACTCTTATTACCCAACTAGGTTTTACTAATTTCATAAACAGAATGATACCTTCAAAATTAGATTTAGAAACATAAAAAGGGCCTGAATTATGTTCAAAATACAGTACTCCTAGTTTAAAAGATGGCCATTACAACTACCATCCAAATTGTGGCATTATTCTAATATACATAAACAAAAAGTAAAGACAAAATAAAACCCTAGATAGGATGGATGAAGGCACCATCAACTCCTAATTTAAAGTGTTTGGACATTTTAAATTAATAATTTGATTTTTTATAAAACCAAAGTAGGAAATGATATTAGTATTTAAAATTTGTTGAGTAGCTTCAGAGCAGTTTGAACATTTAAAAAATCAAATTCATACTCTTTTTGGGAAATTTTCTGTATAATCATAGTTTAATTTTCAGGCCTTCTTTTATGATCTCCCTTATCACATTAACACAACTTTTAACTTCTCTCAATGTGAACCCTCTTTGTCACATGGCCCCAACATTTCAACAAATTATTCCCATTATATATTTTTTTATTTTTTAAACATGAAATGCAATGAATGAAAACTACATTTCATCTGCAACAATTTCCCACCTCCATTTGTGCACAAAAAATCAAGAATGGTCACTTAAAGACATGTGACCCCCTATAAACCGCAAAAATAGTCACTTAAAGGCATGTGACCCCCTATAAACCGCAAAAATATTATGAGATCCAAATTTCATAATCCAACATGCTAGTTTATAGTTAACTTATAAAATTCCTCTTAGCTTTCTCGTGTGTTCATCCACCTTGTTCCTTAAAATGTGTGTCCTTGTACAAGTGAATAGCAGGATCCTCATCCCTTTCACCGTCCTCATCTTCTTGGCTCTGCCTTTCTTTGAGTTTGACCTGCAGTACAAAGTAAAAGTGACCATTAGACAAATATATGGTTTAGAATGTAGAATATAAAATAAAAAATTTATAATTATTGTTTCATGTATTACGTACTTAAGTATCGTAACGTTTGACGAAGGACATCGATCCAGAATAATGTGGAACCTCATTCTTGGAACGGTTTTCTTTGTTTTTTTCATTTTTTTCCTAGGTAGTAATTCAAACAATATTACAAGTTAGGAAACCCAAATAGCTAGTGAATGAAGTTATTGTATTAAATAGTCAAAAACAAGTAGTTAAGAAATTGAACCTGAAATTCTGGTGACATCCACGTATCACACAACTTTTGCCAAACAGCTTGACCAATGCCATTGTAAGGATGGTAGCGTGCATTCTCAATCAGAAGATGCTCCTCAAAATGACACTTCAATTTATATCTATATTTCCTCAATGCGCTGGAAATTCCCTTATTTACTCGCTTAAAATTAGTGTCATTCGCATATGCATCCACTCCAAAGATCTTCTTTATAATGTAAAATTAATGTAAGCTATAATTTATAACCAATTGGACTAGTAACCTCTGATTTATTTTTAACAAAACAAACATTAAATGATTGTCATCATTACCGTCAAATGGTCATAGTAGACCTCTTTCTCAAAATCTGGAACACCCCTCCACATTTTATACTTTAAAAGGGTTCTGTATCTCGTGTATTAATGCCAACCTTAGCCGTCCATAATTTGTTATTTAAACCAACAGGTTTAATATAACCATCTCCAAACTCTACTGGAACTGGACAGTTGTTTTCCTTAATTTTGTGCAAGGCTTCATTTTTTGCTCTTCCACGCCCTTTTCGTATCGAACCTGAAAAACAAATTTATCATCTTAATTTAAACGTAGGCATTTTACAAAAGAGCTTATGGTTAATCAATGATGAAGCATAATTACCTCCACTTTGTTGTGGCCCCATCTGCTCATTACTACCATCACCTTCCATTCTTTCATTTGTTGAATTCCTATCATCACCTGATCCACTCGGTTGTGTAGCAGGTGAACTTATAGATTGTCGCTCAGTTTCAGCCTTGCGGGACCTTAAAACTGTACACATTGGTTCCTCGGAGGTGTCCATAATTTAGTTTACTAGCTGATATGAAGAATCAAGTGAAATTAAATCAAAATAAACAGGCACCGACAAACTTCAACCATACAGAAATTCTAGCAACATAATTACAAGAGAAATACACTTCTTCTTTTAAAAAAAAAAAATCATGTGATTAACAAACAAAATAAGATTTAATGATTAAGAAACAAAATAAGAGTTAAGATTCATATTGCATGATATGTGATACATTTTGTACTAAATATATATTTCAATGGCTTTTTAAAAATAAATTTTAAACTTTTCTTAACAATTGTACTATGATATTAATTTGGGAAAATCTACATTTTAATGTTTAAAACTAGTTAAAAATGTGTATTGAAGTATGCGAGAAGTATTTGATATGTGATCAATGTGAGAAGTATCGAATACCGGTTTTTAAAATGAATTTGTTAATAACAAAGAAACATGTTTTAATTTGAGTATATGTTCATTGATTGTCATGGGTTAACTATCGCTAATGTCCATCTACCTTCATATATTAATGTCCAGAGAACTCTCAATTATAGGTTGTTATTCTTAAACTAATTTAAAACTCAGATGGAATATTTTGAAGTAATGCCATAGCAGCAATAATGTAGAAAAAAATTATAGATGGAAAAAAAAAATTGCTAAACATCTCTAAATAGAACAAGAAAATTCATTAAACATTGCAACGACGATATCATTGATTATTTAACATGCACCTTTAGATGATAAAAGTGGAAAACCAAAGAATTCCAAATCTGTTGTATATCATTATAGATTTAGTAGAAAGTCCAATGAAAAAAAAAAAAAAAAAAAAAAAAGAAGAAGAAGAAGAAGAAGAAATTAAAAACTTTAATGGATGACCAAATGGTCTGCAAAAGGGATGGTCACTACAGGGGTTCATTTAAGCAGCAATTATTTGCTGGTTTAGTTGAGAACTTCCCATCATTTTTTGTCCTTTGCTTTAGAGGAAATTGATACTCATCAAATAAAGAAATCTAATATATAAAAGCAGGATATGCTTGGTTTAGTCCTAATATATTTTACATTTTCTTAACAGTAGATAATACCCTCAATGAAAAACTTTATTCATAAAAGTATCCTTATTCCTTTACTTATCAAATATATATATATATATATATATATATATATATATAAAGTATCTTTATTCCTTACATCCCACTTACATGAATTGTGGTTTCCTATATTGGCTCTCTTACAACTATTCTATGATTCAACTTGGAAATAAGGTGAATGCATGTTTTGCTCTCTTTCTACTTCACTACAAACTCTATTATACTTGAATAGAAATTCTACCAGTTGACCTACAAGAAGAGAATATGTTTTTCTTCTATGACACAGACTTATTGTAAAAAGATGTTATTCTACAACAGTTTCTCGTTTCCTTTCCCTAGATCATAAGATCTCCAAGTAAATAGTTTCTCTTGGTTTTCACTGCAAAATTCTCAAAAAATTAGCTGCTCCTTGAAATTTTTTGTCCTTGTCTTGATCTTTGTGTCAAATTGTCTTGGAATATAATTCATGTCTTATAATGTGAGATAAATTTCAGTAGTATGATATCTGTGATCTAAAAGTTATTTTCATGCTCACATATATTGTCCGTCATTACTATGATTAGTTCATTTCAGTGTTCTCCCTCATCATCCAAGTGATTTTGATATGCTATCCAACTCAGAACACTTGTAGTTTAACACTATCCTCCAAAATTTCATATACAAACATGTTGTCCTCTATTGTTATTGATCCCTGCCATCTATGATTTCCACTAAATCATTCTGGGTCATTGGAGACGCAATGAACTTGGTCATTCCTTTTTGAAGTTAGATAAAGCTTTTTCTATATATGTGTGTGTATAAATAAAGAGGCCGTTACGTAATATAATGTCCATTAATCCGGGGTGCTGGAACTAAAAGGGACAAAACTATATTGTGACATAATTTTTTGCATTATTTTTATAAAGTGCTACTATGGGATTGTAACAACCAAAAAGTGGTAAAAAAAATAAAAATCAAAATCAAAAATCAAAAATCAAAAAGTGCAGATCAAATATTAGATAGGATTTCTACAAAACTCATACCTAAATCAACCTCAAAAAATAAATAAATAAATAGTATAGAGAAGCAATCTAAGCTAGTCAATTGAGATATGAAGAAGAAAGTGAAACATACCTCTCGGCAAGTAGATAGCCGCCAGTAAAAGAAGTAGCAGAATGTTGAGTGATTAAATCTGTTGTATAATAATGAATGAGTAAAGAAACAACATAATAAGAATGAAAATAGTACACAATTTTTTCATGTGTCCGTGAACATGAATTGCATATATATATATATATATATATATATAAGGGATAAATTAATAAAGATAAAAAGTTCAAACAACCTATATGATTTCCAACAGTGATTCAGAATTAGACGAAAATATTTTTCCAGATTTGTAGTTTACCCGCTTCAATTGTTAGGCCTTTTGCAATTTCAAAACCCTAGGACATATATTTACATAACAAAAAAAAACTAGGGTGCGGGTCATGAAACCGAAGTGGGTTATATGAACGTCAAATCGAACATGGAGGTTCTTTGAAAACCGAAGTGGGTTATCAGATTAATTGTCCCTAAAGGCTGGTATTAGGGACGGTAAAATTTGCCCATCTTTAATAATAAGGTCTTTATGGACAGTTTTTTAATGCGTCACTAAAGGACTGTCCCTAATAGCCTAATTTCTTCTAGTGTCTAAAGGCACTAGGATGGATTATTTTATGATCTTTATGATAGAAGTTGATTATTTACACTCATTGTTTATCAATAGGAAGATCATATTATGAATCACATACCTAGTAGCATAATGTTAGAGAATATGGTATGATTATCATATATACCACATATGAACACACTTATTATAGAAATTAAGAATTATATATGAATTCCCTATTGATGCGTCGGCATCATTTAGTACACAGATTCCTGCATCGGTACGTTAATGTAGTGGAAGGATTATCATCCAATCCGACAGAATCATGTTTTTAGGTGAGACCTTTATGGACATCCCTGTTAAACATGAGTTGGACCCAGGAAGTTACACGGAAGCGTGAATCGATATGGATACAGATCGTTTTGGCAAGTTGCTATGAAATCAAAGTTGGAATCTATATATTCTAATAAAATTTGGGATCTTGTAGAACTTTCTAGTACGGTGATACCTATGGAAGGCAAGTTAATCTACAAGAGGATACCAGGAGATTTTTTAGTGAATGAACCATGTGTGTACAGGGTAATGTCATTATTTTTCTAATTCTATATATATTAACGACATCCTACTCATTTAAAATGACGTGGAAGCTTTGTCATCTTTAAAGAGGTAGTTGCTCAATTACTTTGAAATGGAGGATTTTCAAGATATAAGTTATATTTGTAGGATCAAGCTTTTGCAAGATCAGATTAAAAGGAAAATAGGTTTATCTTAACAATCCTACATTGATAAAGTTTAGACCAGGTTTGGTATGCAAAACTCAAAGAATGAGTTCTTACTTTATTGACATGGACTGCTCTTTCTGGTAAGTAGTTTTCCAAGACTAGCAGAGGAGATTCAGAAAATGATACTATAATAATATGCTTCGGCATGTGGGAGTTTCATTTATGCCATGGTCTATAGTAGACAGGACATCCAGTACATTGTAAGGATAGTCAAAAGATATCAGTCCAATCTCGGACTTGATAATTGGTCTGTTGTGAAAATATCATAAAGTACTTTAGGAGAACCAATAACTCATACCATTTATGGATGTGATGATATGGTTTTAGTCTGGTATGCTAATTCTGATTTTAAATCAGATGTAGATATTATAAGGTTCATGACTTAGTGTATATTCACTCTATGGAAGAGAAATCAGTTGGTAGATTGTTAAGCAGATTTCAACTGCTAATTCAAACCTGAAAGTGGAGTACATTACAGCCTTAAAGGTAGCAAAGGAAGCCTTTTTAATTGATCTCACTGATTTAGAGGTTATGGAGCGTACTAGCTTGCCTATCGAGCTATATTGTGACAATAGTGTAGAAGTAGTCCAAACCAATGACCCAAGGTTCCATAAAGGAACAAGGTACACTGAGAGGAAGTATCATGTTCAACATGATATTGTCCGGCAAGAAAATGTACTTATGGCTAGAACATTGCATTGGAACACAACTTTGTTGATCCATTAATAAAGGTATCATCGACCAATAGTTTTGATCGTCACCTGGATAACATTGGAATTAGATGTAATTAGAATTGGCTATGAGAGCAAGTGGGAGCTGTAGGAATTTATATGCCCTAGTATAGCAAATTCCTATTTGGATTAAAGTGACATATGTTCCTAACATATTTGAAATATTTATACTTTATACAATTGGTGAATTCAATGTATTATGTTTCGATTCATTATGAAATTGATAGTATCCATTTGATTACAAGAGATATTTATATATATAAGTGATGACGATCAATACATGAATATAAATAGTAATCATAAATTGTTTATAGTCGGTAATTATGGATTGACTCATTATTAACTAAGACTTGAACTGGATCCGCGTTTGGTTGAGATATATTGCGAGAGCCGTCGTATGCAATTACTCCATATCACTGTCATGCCATTTGACTCTTAAGCATGAGAGAAGTATAGACTATTTTATTAATTAGTAATTACTTTGATTTGTTCGACAGATTCTTTGGAATCCTTATACCAATACTTTGGGTAATTATCTAATTAATAGTTAGAGGGTTATATTTTCAATATTTGCATCATTGCTACTTATATTTATTTTGTATTGATTATAATTAATCACAAACTAAATTCGAAGGCATTCGTGTATTTTTAGACAAAATGATTTATTATATATTTATTTATTTAAATTATTATTTTTGTCAAACAAATGTTTTATTGTGATCAAGGCGGAAATAA